GATGATTTTGGATGTAGAACTTGGATAATTGATACTTGTGCCAGCAATCATATATGCACAGACATTAATCAAATGACCAATGTAAGACCTGTTACACAGTCAACTGCTATTTGCTTACCTGATGGTTCTATTAAGCATGTCAAACACATTGGATCCATCACTATAAATCAGAGATTACTCCTAACCAATGTGTTACGTATTCCCACATTCAAATTTAACCTCTTATTTGTCCCAAAATTAACACAAACTGCAAAGGTTAAATTCACTTTTTATCCTACTCATTGCTTTCTACAGGACTTGAAGGATGTGAGGACTTTAGCAATTGGAAAACTGAATTGGAAGTTATATATATTAGATGATCATAGTTTTCTGGATTAGGAGATTGAAAGCTGTAATAGAGAAGTTGGTTTTTGTAATAAATTGTCTGCTGGAAAATTGAAAACAGATGATGATATGTTTTATGTAAATAAAGTTTCTCATATTTCTATTGTTGATTGGCACAATAGGTTGGAACATGCTTCATATCAATGTCTTTAGCATTTAGACTTTCTCAGTCGATTGTGCAGTACTTCAGCCATTAAAATCTTACAGCCTTGTGACATTTGCCACAAAGCAAAACAGAGCAGATTATCTTTTCAAAATTCTCAGATTCATATCAAGTCTATCTTTGATCTGTCACACATTGACATTTGGGGTCTATATAAACAATACACTCCCACAGCAACTCCCTACATGCTCACCATTATGGAAGATTTTTCCAGAGCCACATGGACTTTCATGTTAATCCAAAAATCACAGACTGTAAAAACTCTTGAATCATTCTTTAACATGTTCAAAAATCAGTTTGAAAAGAGTGTCAAAGCTATAAGAACCGACAATGGTAGTGAATTCACTAGTCATGAGTGTCAAGTTTTGCTTCAAGCCTTTGATATTTTACATCAAAAATCGTGTGTTTACACTCCACAACAAAATGGAGTGGTGGAAAGAAAACATAGACATTTGTTAGATATGGCCAGATCACTCATGTTCCAAGCTAACTTACCTAAACATTTTTGGTCATATTCAATTCTTATGTCAACATATATCATAAATAGGATTCCTAGTTCCATCCTAAAATGGCAAACCCCTTATGAAGTCCTATATGGAACCAAACCGATTTTATCCTCTCTGAAAATTTTTGATTGTCTTTGCTATATCACCAATACCAAACCCCACAAGGATAAGTTTGAGTCAAGATCTCATAAATGTATTTTCATTGGATTCAGCCTTGGACAAAAGGCCTACAAAGTCTATGATCTTTCCAGCAAGCAAATTCATGTCTCGAAGGATGTTATCTTTTATGAGAACATCTTTCCTTTTAAATTCAAAGATCATCCAGTCATTCAAACACCCTTACCTTACCTGTAGGATCCCCTCTAGAAGACTCCTCCATGAATCCTACTACGTCATCCAAAAATTCTCCAAACACTGGTCAAAATAATTCAGGATTTTTTCAAGACCACATGACAGATTCTGTTTCTGATTATCATACTCCAGGCTCCTCTAATTCTGATCCTCATCCTGTGCCTATTATTCAGTTCCTTTCCCTGAATCTCCTATTACTGAATCTGATAATGTGCAAGAACCTAGACATAGCAGTAGATTGAGAGTTAAGCCTGCCTGGTTGGAAGACTATATCACTAATGTAACTAAAAATTTTTATGTCAACATATATCATAAATAGGATTCCTAGTTCCATCCTAAAATGGCAAACCCCTTATGAAGTCCTATATGGAACCAAATCGATTTTATCCTCTCTGAAAATTTTTGGTTGTCTTTGCTATATCACCAATACCAAACCCCACAAGGATAAGTTTGAGTCAAGATCTCATAAATGTATTTTCATTGGATTCAGCCCTGGACAAAAGGCCTACAAAGTCTATGATCTTTCCAGCAAGCAAATTCATGTCTCGAGGGATGTTATCTTTTATGAGAACATCTTTCCTTTTAAATTCAAAGATCATCCAGTCATTCAAACACCCTTACCTTACCTGTAGGATCCCCTCTAGAAGACTCCTCCATGAATCCTACTATGTTATCCAAAAATTCTCCAAACACTGGTTAAAATAATTCAGGATTTTTTCAAGACCACATGATAGATTCTGTTTCTGATTATCATACTCCAGGCTCCTCTAATTCTGATCCTCATCCTGTGCCTATTATTCAAGTTCCTTTCCCTGAATCTCCTATTACTGAATCTGATAATGTGCAAGAACCTAGACATAGCAGTAGATTGAGAGTTAAGCCTGCCTGGTTGGAAGACTATATCACTAATGTAACTAAAAATTTAGTGAATCCAATTGCTAATGTCCAAGCAAATCTTGATACCACTAAGTTCAGCTCACAATATACACCCATCACATTTCCATATTCTGTTTCACCTTGTTTACATCATGCATATATTTCTTTTCTGGCCAATGTATCACATGTTCAAGAACCACACATTTATCATCAAGTTTGTAAAGATCAAAATTGGGTGCAAGCCATGAATAATGAGTTGAAAGCATTGGAGGAAAATGATACAGGGGAGTTGACCTTTTTACTTGCTGGAAAGAAAGCCATAGGATCTAAATGGGTTTATAAGCTCAGGCTTAAACCAGATGGAACTATTGATAGATTCAAGGCACGGTTAGTAGCAAAGGGATATGATCAAATGGAAGGAGTGGATTTCTTTGAATGTTTTTCACTTGTGGCAAAATTGGTTACGGTAAGGATTTTTCTTGCAATTGCATCAGCAAAAGATATTAACAATGCCTTTTTACATGGATATCTTGATGAAGAAATCTATATGGAACCACCAGCTGGATACAAAAGAGTTTTAGCAGGTCAGGTCTGTAAGTTGAAAAAGAGTTTATATGGTCTGAAACAGGCCTCAAGACAATGGAACATTGAACTCTGTCATAAGCTCACTGGTTACAGTTTCACTCAGTCTCAGCATGATCATTGTCTTTTTATTCATCAATCTTTTGGTCATAGTATTTTCCTTTTGATATATGTGGATGTCATATTGGTAACAGGAACACATGAGTCAGATACAATCTCCGTCAAGCAATTTTTGCATTCAAAATTTATTATCAAAGATTTAGGATATGCAAAAAATTTTCTAGGCCTCGAAATTGCTAGAGGTAAAGATGGTACTTATGTGAATCAAAGAAAATACATTTTTGATATCATTGAAGATGTAGGTCTTACTGGTGCAAAACCTTTTGGAGTTTCTATCCCTAAAGGTACAAAATTGTCACAATACGATGGTGAACTTTTTCCAGATCCAGCAAGGTATAGGATGTTGATGGCAGGCTTCTATACTTAAATTTAACTAGGCCAGATCTTACATATGGGATACAGCAATTGAGTCAGTTTGTCAACAAACCTTGCCAAATTCATTGGGATACAGCAGTGCATTTGTTGAAGTATTTGAAAGAATATCCTTCAAAATGTTTATTCTTCCCTGTTCAGCAGGATCTTTCCTTAACAGCATATTTTGATGCAGATTGGGCCTCTTGTGTGGATACTCGCCGGTCACTTACTAGTTTTTACATCTTCCTGGCCAATACTCTGATTTCTTGGAAAACCAAGAAACAAAATACGGTGTCAAGGTCCACAGTAGAGGCAGAGTATAGAAGTTTAGCTGCCACAGTTTGTGAACTTCGCTGGATCAACTATGTCCTTGCAGATTTTATGATCAATCTATCTCTACCGATTCCGTTGTGGTGTGATAATAAATCTGTACTTCATATTACAGCAAATCCCCTTTTTCACGAACGAACCAAACACCTCGAAATTGATTGTCATATTGTGCGGGATAAGTTCAAGGAAGGCTTTGTTCTTCCTCAATACATCTCATCTTCCCACCAATTCACAGACTTTTTCACCAAGGCTCTGCCACCTCCCCAGTTTCNAATACATAATTAAAAATAAAATAATAAACAAGTCATCGTGATTCTGTTATGATTTCTCCAATGATGCTGAAACTCCCCGTCGACAGATGAAGAATTATATTTCAGCAATTTCTATTATTTTCCCTTGCTTTATTCACGTGCATTGCCTTTGCTTTAGTTAGTTAGTTAGTTTGGCCCGGTGTCAATTCTTCATTAGTTCATATTTGTATAAATGCCTTGGACCCTCTACGTTACAATTAATTTTTGATGAAATAAGAATTCTGAGAAAACTTTCAACATTCTTAGTTGCACAAACCAGATCCATAAATTCAATAACAGCCCCAAGGTTAATTTCTCCATTGATACACCATTAAGAGAGAGAACTTCAGTTTTAGCCGAGAATCCATTCAGAAGTTGAAATCTAAAGCCAATAATAAAAAATGGGAATTAAATATTGTCGAATTAATGGACAAGCAGAGTAACGACCCGATAAAAATTCCTAACGGAAAGTTAACACCATAAACTTGGCTCAGAAGAAATCAAGTAACAAGAATCTAGGAATGACAACGAGGAGGATATGAGACGAGTAGGCTATTCCCACCTCCGTGTCGTCGGATATATTTGTCACCTTATCTCATCCTCATACATGGTTAAAGCGGGACGGGGCGGGACCGAGGTGGTGCCTACCCCATTTATCAGCCCATTTATTTTTTATTTATTTTATTTTTTTATATCTTTAGTTAGTAAATATATTTTTTTTCAATTTGTTAAGAATAACTTATATCCTCTTTAAAAATAATGATAAATCTTTTATTTTTTGTTTAATAAAAGTTTTAAATTTGAAATTAACTTATGTCCTATTTCGGAACAACAACCCCCGTCCCCGCCCCATTTACCCAGTTAGGCAGGCAATCTCCACCCCATTCGGGATGTGTCCCCGGGTATATAGTTGACAGGTTTCTTTGCCATCCTTACAAGAATCCAACTGCTGAGATTTCATCATTTCAATCACTATGTGCCCTGTTATCGCGCGACGTCACTCGAGCGAGAAAATTTCCAACCTCCAAAATGACAACGTTCAGAATGGCAGTGAATTGTTGGCGCTTGCTCGAGCCGAAACTGGTGGCCATATACTTTGGCGACGGGATTCAGAGTATTCTGACATGCACTTCAGCCGGCAATGTGTTGGCTAAAGATTTACGTTGGTGCGCCGAGCAATTGAACAAAGACGTGTTGGGCCACGATAACGCTATGGTTAGAAAACATATCGGGAAGTGGGATCAGGAGCCCCAATGCTTCCCGTTGGGGAATTTCGATGGTGCAATGATCACAATGGGAAGCTTTCCAAGGTTTCCAATGTACGACAATGATTTCGGGTGGGGCAAAACCATGGCGGTTCAGCGCTAGCGAGCGAACAAATTTGATGGCAAGATTTCTGCATTTCCAAGTAGACAAGAATTGCTTGAGTTCCTCTCTCTCTCTCTCTCTCTCTATTGCTGACTTCTGGCGTCCATTTCAGATTTTAGCCAAGAAATTCATTAGCCTCGTCCAAGAGAATGGAAATGAGTCTCAAAGTTAGGAGGATAATGGTGGAGAAATGAGGAAGAAGGTGAAGTGATTTTTTTTTAGTTTTGATTTTAATTATGTATTTGTGACTCATTTGTAATTTTTTTTTAAAATTTGGAATTATAGTTACAATTCATTTTTTTATTTAAATAGGAGAATATATTCGTTATTTCATAACTTTATTGAGAAAATTGATAAAACTAATGATTTTCACAATGAAAGATGTAAATAGAAGTGAAAATGCAAAAAAAGTAAGGTGATGATGTTTTGTGGACTGAACTTTAAACGTGTGTTGTGCTAATAACATCGTAGGGCAATCTTAGCCACCAATAGTTAGCATTTATAACCAAGCAATAGTTTTGACCCATGCAGATGCCATAGGGCCACCGGCCATTTTACGCAGTATTTCTCTCAATGACGCCATGCCTACACACTTCTTCTTTATTACATGCAAATAACTGATTGAATATTACATTTATATAAAGGACGTGTACAAAATTTAGTTCATAAATTTTTTAGAGATATACACTTGACGATTTTTCGTTTGTTTCTGACAAAAAGCACAAACAAATCGATCCAATCAAAAGTTGTCAACGCAGCATTTGTAACACTTCTGTGAGGTATTTTTTTGTATATATGGTTTTCTCCTTATGTAAATTCTGGTTAGCTTATGTTTCATACTGCTACATATGACTTGGATGGCACTAGAAGGCCACAATTTTGAGAAAGTGGCGAGTCGTGCTTGAGAATGTATGCATCGTGACCTTTTACTCGTAACATTATTTGTAAATATAAATATTCTCAAGAATTTATGTTATCTATGTTCCTCACATTGGTGTTGTAACTTCTAGTCAACTTTGAGTGAATATCAATGGTAAATCATCGGAACGCAATACTTGGTTAGGTGTTCGACTGTTGTACATTCACACGATAAAATATTTCATTTTTCCAAAATTTCTTTTTCTATTTACTTACTTTCAACTATACGTTCAAACAATAAAATATTTTACACGTAAATCCAAAGCTTTTTTCTATTTTTTAACAACACATTCTTGAAAAATTTACTATTTAAAACAAAGTTTTTCCAAAAAATAAAAAAAAAATGGCCTTTAAATCCGTCCCTGGTGACAATCCACNATTTATTTTAGTGGACTTGTATTGTATCTTTATCGTAAAATATTATCCTAAAATGTCAAAAGGACGAATAAAAAACTATGCTTTAGTTTATTGTGATTTTACTTTTATTTTGTTGTTATTTAAATTTATAGTAAATACATTTAGTTTGTTTTAGATTTATTTTTAGTAAAATATAAATATATATTGAATTAATGGCATAAAAGTAGATACTAGACATGAAAAAAAAAATATACGCGAAACCGACGGTTTAAAACCGGACCAAACCGTTAGGTTTAGGTTTGAGTTTTTTTCAAATCGGTCAAAACGGTTTGGTTTAGGTTTGAGTTTTTCTCAAACCGGTCAAAACGGTTTGGTTTGAAAATTTGTCAAAAACCGCAAAAATCGAACCGCTTACACCCCTAGGGCCACCGGCCAATTTACGCAGTATTTCTCTCAATGACGCCATGCCTACACACATCTTCTTTATTACATGAAAATAACTGATTGAATATTACATTTATATAAAGGACGTGTACAAAATTTAGTTCATAAATTTTTTAGAGATATACACTTGACGATTTTTCGTTTGTTTCTGACAAAAAGCACAAACAAATCGATCCAATCAAAAGTTGTCAACACAACATTTGTAACACTTCTGTGAGGTATTTTTTTGTATATATGGTTTTCTCCTTATGTAAATTCTGGTTAGCTTATGTTTCATACTGCTACATATGACTTGGATGGCACTAGAAGGCCACAATTTTGAGAAATTGGCGAGTTGTGCTTGAGAATGTATGCATCGTGACCTTTTACTCGTAACATTATTTGTAAATACAAATATTCTCAAGAATTTATGTTATCTATGTTCCTCACATTGGTGTTGTAACTTCTAGTCAACTTTGAGTGAATATCAATGGTAAATCATCGGAACGCAATACTTGGTTAGGTGTTCGACTGTTGTACATTCACACGATAAAATATTTCATTTTTCCAAAATTTCTTTTTCTATTTACTTACTTTCAACTATACGTTCAAACAATAAAATATTTTACACGTAAATCCAAAGCTTTTTTCTATTTTTTAACAACACATTCTTGAAAAATTTACTATTTAAAACAAAGTTTTTCCAAAAAAAAAAAAAAAAATGGCCTTTAAATCCGTCCCTGGTGACAATCCACACTGCTCATTGAATCATCCTACAAGTTGAAACTCCCATAATAATTTTTCATTATTTTTTAACCTTTATGTAGTCATTGGGCAGGTAAAGGAGATCAGCAAAATAAGAAAAATAGAGGGAAACCAATTAATTATTTTAATGCAAGTATATGAAAGAAATAAAATTAAAATTCAAAACAACTAGATCATCGTCAACCACAATAGACAACATTAATTTTCTATCTCTCCCTTTTTTAATCGTTATATAGAAGAATCTTTATAACTGTACTGCATCATGAACAAAAAACTTTTGTTGGAAATAGTTTTCAAGTGTGCTACCTTGAGCTCAATTTTTTGAGTTTCGAACTCCGAAATTAATTAGACCAAGTATATTCATGATCTACTCTACGGGAGGATTAATATAATATATTTATTTGTCAAAAACACAATATTGAGTTTGTTGAAATTCTTACTGTTTGTTGCATTACTTCTGTAAGATACAAAATTCATTCTATATTGGGAGACGGTTGCTCAATGTCTTTAAGCATCGAAGAAGGGAGCAAATTCGTCGGAAGGACGCATCGTGAAGTTGGTTGGTTTGAATTATAAATGTTTTCGTGATTAGTTCCTTTTTGATCTTGTTGATCATATTGCTCCAATTTTGATCCCCATTGATCATATTGTTTTGGTTTCATTCTTATTCAATCTCATTATGATTATTTGAAAGTATAACTATCTTTATATTATTTGAAGGAAAAATCAATACTACATAAACAAACATCTTTCAATTGTTATAAACAATATTAATGCAATCGTGTCGAATTTTATTTCTAACATCTGCATTTCTTAACAACTTTATGTTAATATTCTACTAAAGATAAAATGGGCTCCTACGATGGCATTTTGGGCCATGAGTCCATCTAAGCTAACAATATAGCTCATTGATCTCGTGAAAGCTTTTCAACCTATTCTTGTCAGCCCAAATGAAATATTATTTTTTTTTCTAATTTTGAAATTTAGTGTTAAGAATTTTAACAGATATTATCTTTTCAAAAAAGTATTTTAATTTTTACTTTATATAAAGCAATAGAATTTTTAATAATTTAAAGAAAGGTAAAAAATTAGTTAGAAATTGAGTTTTAGCAAACTTTGTTATCGTCTCAAATTTAGCACCTTTTTCATGATGACGTATTCATACATTGGATGCACGTGCGTCCTAAAATACTTGGCCATTTGTACCGTCTTATGCACAAACATATACATGCTCAAAACGTAAGATCACGGAGATTAAAAGGGTTAGAGTCGTGTGGTCAAATTTAGTTACTTTGATAAAAGACGAAAGACTTGTGATTTTCAGTAGAAGTTGCAGCTATATCAAAGATTTAAAGAAACAATAATTTATTAATTCATGAAAATTATTGAATTCTTAACATTAAATTGGAAGAAAATATTAAAATTCTTTCAATAAACCATAACCAACAAACGCCAACCTGTTGCAGTGACTATAATCAACCTATTGCCATTTCAAATGAAATTGCATCTTAAGTCCTTCATATCTTGTCAAAATAATTAAATGACAACATTAACTAATAAATAGGAACATACCACTCACTAGGGGAGGACCAAACACAAAAGTTCAATCCGAATGGACGTTGACTATTGACTGTCGACAATCAGCGATCGTAAGAACGAAATCTTTCATTAATATTTAATTAAATAATGTTAGAAATTATTCAATACATATGTAAACATAATTCAATACAACCCAAAATACTAAAATATAAACGATACAACCTACTCTGTAACTGTAATCTTAGACAACTGCATTCTACGAGATCCAATGTTTTGAAACATTGCAATATTGTCTCATTCTCAATTTTTCCAAAAATCTCATTCTCCATGTAAACCACCAAATTATCATTTAACCAGTCATCTCCCATTTTGTTGCGCAAGTCACTTTTAATTAGATTCATACCAGATAATACTCTTTCAACACTTGCAGTTGTCACATATAATATTAAAACCAAGATGATCAGCCTATAAACCAATAGAAAATAACAAGAATTTCTTATTTCAACCAACTTCTAAGCTACACAAAAAATGCTATTAGGGTTAAAGAAAGCTTCATACATTCTCACAAACGTAAGAAACTTGTCAAGTTGAGATCGAAGTAATAAAAACTCTACATTATTCAAGTCCAAAGGATAGAACTGAGCAATGATTATATTACAATAAGGGCTTTAGTACTGATTCCTTCATTGACTTGTTAACTTTACGAAATTTTGATTAAGGATAATGACAACGTTAGTAGCAATCAAAATATTAGTTTTGCACCTTCTGTGAACTTTCATGCACCTCATCAGTCATCAACGTGAGCTTTCTTGTTGAATCTAGAATTTTAGTTAGACTAAGCTATAAACCGTTGTTAATTAATTCTGCAAATTGAAGTGTGGTAATTTATTTCTCCAGTCTCCCCCAACTTCACAATCTCGACTCAAACCTTTACAATCGTAACCCGTTACGAGAAAATAACAAGAATTACCGGAGATGCTAATGGGTGAAAAACTGAAAATTGAAATGCTAATATTCTTAGTTCTCGTTTTTTATTTTTCAAATTCATAAATGTATTTACAAAAAAAGAAAAGAAAGGAAAAGAACTGAAACAGAAAATAAAAAGGGAAAGCGCCACTTATCGGTAGGTGGCAGCAAGTAGGTCAGCAACCGACAAGTAGTTGCATTGGCAAAACGCCGACAACAGAGCAGGGAGAAGGAGAAGTGAAGATCATCGATTCGCCGCCCGATGAAGGAATGAAGGGAAGGGTTTGGACTTTGGAGCCTCAATCGAGTTAATGTGATGATGATGAAAATTATTTCATTTAATTGGGCCTCATTTTTTTTTCAAAAAGGCCCCAACTCTCTTGGCCCAAAACAAACGGGCCAAAACTAGAAAAAAAAAAAGGCCCACCTGATTTTGAAACAGTATCTGTCTTCTTCCTCTCCGTCTTCTCTGTTCTCTCTGCAACAGTCAACGATCGGACGGAATTGAAGACTCCGGAGGACTGGTGGCTACGCCCTCTCGTCGGGTGCTAGATCCGCTCCTGCCACTCACCGTGCACAAGTTATTCGCATAGGGCGAGAGCTTTAGCATCAATTCTTAAAACTCATATTATTTCTTTTTTCTTTTCATTTTTTATTAATTTTTAAAGTGGGGAGTATTTGTATTCAGTTTTTTTTTTTTTTTTTTTTTTTTTGGCCCTTCTACTTTTGGTCCTATTATCTTAGGTTTCCATGGTTCCAGGATATAATCCTTTCAATTTTGGCAGAAACATTCATAAATCAACATTTTTTTTTTGTTTTGCAAGAATGGCCCTTTCCATCCATTGTCGTCCAAATTGGCTATTGAAGGCTCGCGTTCATTGCACACTCCAAATTGCGAGAATGGTCCTTTCCACCCCCTTGACAACCTTTTGGAGCCAAATAATCTGCATTGTTTATCTTCATACGAGGCCATCTCCATATATATTCTTATTTTATTTATGATCAAAGAAAGTCTTCTCTAAAGCAAGCTATTTTCTTCCAATGGATCCCTTCTTGTGCGACTGTAATTTGACAATTGTACTAAAGACATCGCATATAGATGCGAACGCAGCGAACCGGACCAATAGTTTCTTAGATGCTTCACGGTGTGTAATTTGTTTGATTTCGTGCAAATGTTCTCATTAGCAGTGTGCATTTGCTGACACTCTCAAGAACCACCACGACGACCTCCCCCAACAACTCAACGTAACAAACGCCGCCACCACTACAAAAATCAAAATTCAACGTCGTCGTCGCCGCCGCCGCTGCTGCCACAATACACACGCATGCACACATACAAAATACGAACTTACAATATCTTGATGATCGATTTTAAATATGGGTTCAAATGTGAAAATATATTATTAACACATTAGTACTTCATGAAAACCCGTGAACAGTACCTATGATCAGTTTAAATGGTTGATAATCACGACTTGCAAAAGACATTGAGAGTTGAGTAAGAAAACTCTCGAGGATAATAGTTCCTTAACACTTGTTATATCTGATTATTGAAAATTCAATTCTTTTATAATAATGCATTAGTGCACCGATAAAATACTTGGTCAATACATGTGACGAGTTCAAATTATTTATAAACTTGACCAGCGAAAGTCATGGAGAGGTGGGTAAGAGAATCCTTGAAAATAAGAAAGCCATAGTACACATTAGTTTTACCAAATTTGGTTTAGTTTATCTCAATCATCATTGAGAAGTCGATTTTTATTTTAAAGTGTAATAGTGCATTAATGCTTTGTTAAGACACTTTTTCGTTTTTAAAGATCGTTAGCTCTTGTTCTCTTCTCTTTCAAGATTGAGAAGCATACTTCAGATTTATTCAAAAGAGAAAAATCCTCCATCAAATTGAATAAGGTGAGAAAGACAAGTTCTATTTGTATTCCTACGAATCTATATGGATAGAATTAAGTCCTGTGTACATGACTTAATTTCACAGGGGTCTTACAGGCTCCTCACTGTAGCACAGGGCCCCACCCCAATGTATTAAAAAAAAAATGTGGCCCTCACCCCCATGTGTGTTACCTGACACAGGCCCCCTATGAGCGTAGCACTACTCGTAGGGATAAAGCAGGTTTGTAAACAGTACATATGACTAGTGATCACAACTTTGCAAAAGTAATCAAGGGCAGAGTCGAAGAATCCCCAATGACAAGTCGACAACTAAGTTGCACTTAAACTCATCAATCTTCACAAGAAACCAAACCATTAGGCTCAAAAATGCCAAGATAAACCGCCCACTACAGTACTATCAAATGCAATTGCAAACTTTTCTTCCTTGGTGGGCCCCATGATTCCCACATTTCTATTTATGCACCACACCCTACTCCCAAACCCACAAAGACTCTTTTCTCCTATTTTTACTTAGACAAAAATTTCAGAATTCAATGGGAAGTTACAAGTTTAGATTATCAGATATGATACCAAATGCCTGGTTTTACAAGCTCAAGTACATGAGCAAAACCAGAAACCAGAAAAGCCACCGTGGCACCGCAGCTGCACCACCACCTCCGTCGCCCAAACAAAGGAGGCCGCCGGCGGCGGGCCCATCTGACCTAAGAAAATCATACCATTTTACGAGAGACCTCACATTTCACAGTAATTCTCCAACTAAAAATACTGCAGTGAATTATTCAGAATCACCAAGAATATCATCCAAGAAGCTGCGTAGCACGAAGAAAACCAGAGTTTCAGCCGGTTACACCTGCCGGGTCAATCTTGAATCCGATTCTACATCGGAAGAGTGTCAGAATTCAACTTCCTGCAAATGCAAATTTCAAAATGATATCATAATTGATCTTGATGAAAAGCCATTCCAAGCAAAATCCGAACTCGATCTCCCTCCGATCATCACCAAAGTCCGTGACACTGAAAATCACATGAAAAATTCAGATAAATTTGAGGAAAGAAATGCATATGAATCCCTGTCAGTGAAGACCGTGAAAGATGACACTTTAAGCACTGATTTCAAACAACAAAAAACAACGCCTTTCAGAAAATCTACAGTGAACTCTTCGGGGATGAAACTCCGGCACCGGAATTCTCCAAGAATAGGAAGAAAGAATATTCCGGGACGGAAAAGCGTATCATCATCTTCAAGTTCAAGCTCATGGAAAAGTGCATCTGAGAATTTCGCAGTTGTGAAATCATCAGAGGATCCACAGAGAGATTTTAGAGAATCAATGGTGGAGATGATTGTAGAGAATAATATCAGAGCACCAAAGGATTTGGAAGAACTTCTTGCTTGTTATCTATGTTTGAATTCATTTGAACATCATGATCTGATCATCAAGGTGTTCAAGCAAATTTGGTTTGATACCATTGCTGATATTTGTATGAAGTAATTTCATTTCTTTCTTGTAATTATTATTCTTCAATAGAATAGTATACAGTTATGTAATTTTATATTTAATTTCTCTGGACATTGCATCTATGAACCAGGGAAATCTTTCAAATTACTGAGTATAATTACCCACCCTGTACAAGATAATTTGGAAAAAAAAAATTTATTCCTTTTAATTTTAAGTTTTAACAACGTAAAGTTTAGACGAAGTTCAAAAATTCAACTCCACAACCACTACTTATATTCCATGCATGTGTTAGATTTTGACTAAAATATACATGTGAATAACTTGTATGTTTTTGACTTATAAGTAAAAAATAATGTTTAAAACATGTTCAGTAATAAAAATTACTTAAAAGTAAGTTTTTAAGTAACTTTTGTTGTCATTCTAAATAGTAGGAAAAACCCTGCTTTCGACGTGTAACTGAACTTGCCTAATCAATCTATTTCTACCCAATCTGAAAGAAACAGTTGGTTTTACGTCAACCAGTTAATGAAAAAAATAGTGAAAGACCCTTCAAAGACAAGTTAAGAGTTTGTTTAGGCAGTATTGTTAGGCTTAGGTTGTCTCTTTTTCCAATAAGAAGAAACTAAAAGGTATAATGATATAAAAAAAGCTGGACAATAATAAATAGCATTATTGAAGGTGATAAGTTAACTTTTATGCAAAGTTTAAGAACACTTTTTAATTTTGAATTTATGTACTAATTAAGATCAAAATAAATAAGGTAATTATGGACGAGGTGATGTTGCTGTTTGCTATATCGAGGTGGACATCAGATCTCAACTTGTACTAGGATAACACTAACATTAATAGCATTGGATTGTTCAAAATGTTAATTATTAACGCTCAGTTCATAGTATGAGGAACACCTCGGTTAGTAGCTTCTTTCAGCCATCAAAAGAAGGGATGCATGGTGATCATCATATTAACTACTTTTATAGGTTGTTATGTATTTAAAGCAAGCAAGTTGTTATATTAACTACTTTGATTTTCATCGAGTTGATCATTGGTGTGGATGGTGATATCTTTGATCTGTGTCATTTATTCTTGAAGTTAAATCTCACTCATTCCTATCGATACTGAATATCATCCATGAAGACTTCACGAACACCTATGTAAACCTAATTTACTTTACAAGGAAGTCGAGAAAATAACTGCACAAAAATAAGCTACACACGTTAATTTACTTACAATTACACTTGCGTGAAAACCGGAACGCGACAACATGTGGCCTCTATACAAACATATGTGTCGTTTGTTAGTCCAACATGGCATTGACTTGCGCATTCAGGTGGATTGTCATTTCTAAGTAATTTAGGGCAGCCTTTCTGCGACTTGAAGAGATAAATACGTAAGAAAGGAAGAGATTCAGTCACCCATTACTTGTCGACCAACTTTAAGCTTTCTTTTTAATGGCCATATCACCATTATTGAGTTCTCCATTGTCCTTTTCTCAATTACATTAGTGGCAATATCAACTTTATGCTATTAATTGATGTAAGATTTATAAATAATTATTAAAACAGACTTACAATTTGGTCGAAAGCTAAAATGAATGAGAGGGTTGGAACTAACTGGGTCATTGTCGGCGAGCCGCAAGACCCAGTCAAAAATAAAAAATTTTGTCTTTAGGCAGAGGGCCCGATCCCCCAACATAATCTGCAGATTCTGGCCTCCCTTAAATACGAACTAATAGTTGTCTCTTATCTCGCCTATCCTATCTCTGAAGTCTGAGGCAGGCATATGTAGTCGAACCATTGAACCCAAATATACTCGTCTTTGTGCATTTATAAGAGTTATATTCGTTTACTAAAAGTAAAACTGACCTAGCTACAAGTTGAATATTAGTTTTACGCAAATAATGGTAGGTTGGTTCATTCATGCGAGGTCCCGACCTAGCCTTACAACTCTTCTAAAGGAGTCCTTCTCTCTCTTTGTATCTCCACTTTGTCCCGCCATGCTAGGACTCTCCGACTATCGAGTCCTACCTTATGAGATTACTAACAGTCTCACATGCGGCTTAATCCTCATAGGATTACACCTCCAAGGCCTATAAATACTTGGCATTCATTCATTATTCAAGCATGCTCTAGTCCTAATCATACCTGTTTTGTTCATCCTCGAGTATCCATATGTACAATTTTTGATAGTATCAACTGAGTTCAATCAGTAATTTGTATTTAACTTTACTACGCACTGTTTGACAATCATAACATAATAAAAATTCATAAAGTCCATACTGTCATAGTAGATATATATATTTAGCCTCTATTTGGTTTTGATAAAACTTGATGAAATGTGTGTGATTGAAAGTTGATAAAAGTTATGATTTCCATGATATGTATTATTGAAAATGATCAATTTTAAGAAATGAGGGTCAAAGGAGAATTTAATGTACTAAGTGGACACGTGAGTGTGCATATGTCTCCAAATGAATCACTGTCAACTTTGTCACTTATAATTTTGATGAAACCCCTATGAGAATCAGGTCGAGTCAGTCACTTGTTGTTTTGCTAAAACCCCCTAATCGTGGCCAAATTCATTCCTCATGATTTCATCAGCTCACTTCTTTTTTTATTAGCATGCCGTAAAAAGATATAAATATTTACAGTATGATTTTATGCAGTATGCATCTATATGTCGTAAATCGCCTTTGCATGCCACGAACAAGAGCATGTCATTAAACAAGAGCAAATTCTGTTGTAGTGATTCTTCTGTATATTACATAACCAAATACTTTATATCTTTAAACAAAAGCATATTTGCTATACTTCTCTTCCATGGCACTAAGACCTCTTAAATTGCCATTGAAAACGTGCTATTACAAAAATCTCACAATACAGTTTGATCCATAAGAATAAATCTACAAGTACAAGCTTTTTTTTGACAGAAGTTGACACGTCAGCACCCTAATAGTCTGTTTTTTTTCTTTTTTTTCCAATGAAAATCATTCAAATGTAATTTCTGTTGATTTTCCGTACCTATAGCAAAGTTCGATCCATAAATGCGCAACCATAATTATTCTCAACCATCCATGGAGGGGTTCTTGTTTTATTCATTACGTATATTGTACTAAGGTAAAATCTAAAGCTGTACTGTCGATAAGAAAAAGTTGGCAGTCGTTTTCACTGATTTAAAAAGTTGATTATGCACGTGTAATGGGGTACGTACAGGGAGACAAAAATCTTTACAAGAATCCATCAAATTCAAACCTGCAGAAACCTTTGCACACGGACGCATGCACTGGTAATTCTATAATAAATTTATCCCATGTGCGCATGTCTTGTCCTTTTTTTTTCCCCCGTTTTCATCGCCGCAATATACGACATTACACAATTTACAAGTATTTCTTTTTCGTTTTTAAATATATTTACAATTTTATTCATTTTCTTTCTTTTTTATTTTGTTGTCATTTTTACTAGAGGAAATGATTTTTTTTTTGTTTTTTTTCATCTACACATGTAGGAAAGATAATATAGCGATTTTGCAATGAGGTATACAATTAATGGCGCAAAATACAATTACACAAATCAACAGCAATATTAAATTTCAGTTTTACAAAGTAAGTTTAAATATATAGTAATTTCGATAAAAGAAAAATACAGTCTATAGTCTATACTCGTATTTTTCATGCTCTTGAATTTACGTACAACAATGTTCCTTATAGTATTAGAATCATGCTACGTGCAAAATGTTTGTTGACAATGTTGATTGAAAACATTCTACTTGTCATCTTTATATTCATTCATTTGAAAAAAATATTATTTTTTACAGTACATGCTTGAATTTTGACAATACGTGATTGTCAAACATGTTTTTACACTTAACTTTATTCAAGTATTAATACTATCTATGATTAGAGTAACATTTTGGGTTGGAAATTTGGTGCAAATGATCTCTAAACATTTGTCTTCAGTGCGGAAATGGTCCGTAATGTTTATTTCTTGACACATGTCCATAACCTATATATTTTTGGTGCGCAAATGGTCATTTTATGAAAAACGAGCAATATGCCATTAACTAATTAGGGAAATTGCAGTTGGATCCTTAACCTTTGCAAAAGGTGTAAATGGGTATCGTACCTTTATTTTTTATTTTCAAAAATTAAAGGAAACTAACTAGTTCTTTTTTATGTGTCAAAAATCTGACAATTGATTGGAAAAGATTTTATATTTTAATTTATTATTTCATTATCATTCAATAAAAAAAATTGTTTTTTATCAGTATTTTTATGTTGTATAAAAACACAATAAGATTGCTGAATTTCATAAAATTATGTACGCCATTTATTTATTTATCTTAGTTTTTATTCAAGTTTTTCACGCACAAAGCAGCTACATACACTTAAAGCGCGGCAATTTAGCTTGTTTTCCTTCTTGAATTTTTTAATTAACACGAGTATAATGATGTATTTAGTATGCTAAATTAAAAAAATTAGATAAATGTTCGAGGAATTATGACCGGGACATTTGACACAGCGCCGAGGTGGCGCCCTGTTATTGAAGGGGGCCCCTCCAATGTGAGGGCGTCACCTCGGCGCCCTGTATTTGGGCCCGGTCATTGAGCCGGGCCAGGCCCATAGCATAATTCATCTTCGAGACACCAAATGCATAAGACATTAATGGATGAATGAGTTTTAACATTTCCCCAGAATATAAGTAATTGGTTTGTGGTAAATTAAGAAACAAATCTATGTCTGTTTTGTCATTAGATTTTTGTGGGGTCTTGATACCGACTATACAGCTAAGTATATCTTTTTATTTCCCCAACAAGAAATATAAACAATTTAACAAAATACCATTGTCAACTGTAATCATGATTAAGAACATGGAAGTTTTTTTAACTAGTCAACTTCTTTCTGTCAAAATTACATTTTTTATATCTGTCAGATTTTGTTTATTATTATGAAATATTGTCATTCGGTCGTGCAAAATTGTTTCGTACCAGACAATCTAGGTGAAATTAATGAATAAGACTAGAATGTCTAGCTTGATGAATACGTATAGTTGGTTTGAAGATCGAGCGAGAAGGAAGAGAATATCTAAATGGAATAGAAATCTAATCGACTTTACCTAGTTTAATTAGAATGTCCCGTTGGTTCAAATTCAAGCAAGAAGAAATTAGGAGAATTTGACCAACACTTTCGAGGAGTGAATCATGTATTAGTGTTAAAAATAAATATAATTTACAAACTCAAAAATAGTGAACAAAAATTCATTTCTCACTCTATAAGTGTTAAAATTCCCAGGTGGATAGATTTTCTAATTAAAGGTTATATCAAGGCATGAAATTGCCAATGTCTCTATCCATTAAAGAAGCTACATTTGTTGATTTCCGTACCCTAAAAGTCTAGACTTGATTTATTTCTTTGATGACTAACTGCCTAGAGAGAGTGATTAGATATTGATTAACACTGGCTAACTACTGAAATGATGGGAGTATTTGATTTCTACCACTCATTACTTCAAATATGCAGATGAGATGGAGTGATTAAAGATTGATCAATATCCCACACCAGAGGCACATGTTTTTTCTTCTGCAAGATGCAAGAAATGATGTATTTTGTGGCCCATGAAGGTCTCAAACCTGTGACATTCGCGTTGTTAGCGCAATGATCTAATCAACTAAGCTAATAGGACATTGATATCATACTATTCTATCTATATCTTCCTCCAGTTTATCACCGAAAGCCCATTTAAGGTTTCAAACTCAATGATCACAACTAAACACGAAAAATTACACTCGTTGCAAAACTTAATCCAACACAGGACAACACGAGTTGAAGACAACCATTGATATTTTCCCATATTATGAGGAAAAAGACTTTTTCCTAGAAAAAGAAAACTGGTGGAAGACTTGGTTCATCATATGATTCAAACGATGTAAATATTATAAACCTACAAAGACAAGAAACATAAAATAGTTTATTTCGGTTTAGATCTCAGAATTTAAAGTGTACCACGCTAATTAATAGAGCGTAAAACACTATTATCAAGCTCGGCACACTAGGTCAAGCTTGAGTTTATTCACGTGAAGGTGTTGGTATTGTACTTTGATCGGAATATGTGTATCGTGAGCTCAACTCTCCTTATTCTATTTGAGTTCAACTTGAACTTAACACTAAGTGTCTCACAATCTCTAGCACAACTTTTTGACCTAAACTGCCCTTTGCATTGTTGCCACGTTGGCTCGATATATCCAAGCACCACATCACTCATTTAGTACTAATTCCCACCGTTCCATAATTGCCAACAGCATGTGGTTTGGCAATGGTCAAGAATATCACACAACAAACTTAATTCATATTGTCACACAATTATATACATTCACTCTTTAGCATCCTTAAACGCTTCAGAATCTTCAGAAATTTTCATTACACACCAAAAGAGAAAGAAATATATAAAAAACTGTCTTCATGTTTCAAGGAAAATTTTGCGTTCTTAGAGAACCATCCATCATTCAGATGCATTCAGATCCATGCATCTCAACATTTCTAGCACATTTTCCCAGAAAATTCCTCCGGCTGCCGGTACCCAATGTGCTCGACCGCCCCAACAGTCTTGAACAAGCGTCGTTTGTTTATTTCCTCCAACAGTGTTTTATGTAACAATTGGCTCCGTATGTCCATTAATGATTTAGCCCTTGTCATCTTCTGTTTGTTTTTTGTGCTACAAGAAACTTCAGTGTTTAGCAAAATTTTGCTTTGCTTGTTGCATCTACTTCTGGTTATGCTCGTTTCGGGGCAAAATCGTGTACATTTCTGCAACATCTTAGGAATTTGTTGGGGTTCTTCTCTTTGATAGATTAAATCAGGATCGTCCTCATTTGCTGAGTAGTACTTCATGTTGGAGCACTGGTAGGAATTTGAAGAAATTTGGGAACTGGCGTCATCGAGAAATTTTAAATCTCCTGCATCAATAGGGCAGGTTACAAATGGGAAACACAAATTATGAAATTAATATACGCAACTTATAATGAAATTTATGTTAGTCATCAAACTTTATTTTTATTTTGGTGAGTCTAATTTGGCTTGACAACAACTAGGTATTCCAAATAAAGTATGTTAGAAAAAGGGATTATTCTGGTTGAACAAGGCATGTTCATATAGCGTGATTGTAGAAAAACTAAGGGCATGTTCTCTTTACTATTTTCGTGTCATTTTCATTTTTTGAAAACACTGAAAACACGTTTACTTACCTATTTTAAGAAACAAGGTTAAAATTTATAAAGAAAATGGAAAACGTCAAAAAAATCGTTTTGGTTGTTTTCAATCAAAATCAAGCCAAAACTTCATTTTTTTTTTTTTTGAAAACAATTTTTCAAAATGACAAAATGAACGCGTTTTCAATAATCTCAAAATGACCACTCAAAACACAAAACTTAAAATTAATTCAAAACTCAAAACTAAAAACTGAAATAAGAAGAGAACAACCCCTAAGGGATTTTTGACTAAGTGACCAACTAAAAAGAAAAGCAACTAGAGTGACTACTTTGAAACAGATAAAGTTGAGTGATTAAACCCTAAACTTCACTATGGTTTAATTAACGAGCAATCACATAGACCATGGAAGCTGATTAGAACTATGAAAAGCCAAAAGATCAGACACTGTTATATATAAATCACCATACCGTGATCCCAATCATGGCTTAAATTATTCCGGTGATGGAATTCATCTCCTCTTGGAGAAAAAGGATCGGACAGGGAAGCCGGAGAGGAAGAAAGGGATGAGACAGAGTAGAAAGGATGGTGGGTACTATCATCGTCATCTTCGTCGTAGTTGTAACTATGCTGCTCATGGTTTTGATTAATAGAGTTCAGATCCTTCCAAGCTGGGACCAAAGCAGAAATTTCCTCATCAATCATATCAGCAATCTGATATGGCTTCCAATCAGTTATTTCTAATTCTTTAACCATTTCTGAAGCAACGTCCAATGCAGTATCACTTGAAATGTCGAATGGGAAGTATATGTTTCTAGCATTACCTGTATTGCCAATATTCACATTAATCAGGGAAGCTTCGAACGACAAAATCCATGAAAAACGCAGTGCAGACACCCTTAGCAACTAGTCAACTACAATCATGTTACCTTTGGGGGGAAGGGGAGCCTTTTAGTTTTGTGCAAAACGTTTCTCAAACCTAAATCGTCATTTCCTAAATTAATCCTCAACCAGTTCTTCTTCTCATTAGTTGTGCGCATAAATTTAATGATCTTCAATTTCACTTAATTATATGTTAATGCGAAATTAGTGCTAGCTCCTATATATTGTAGAACAGAAAAGTTGGAGGTGTGATCCAGTACCATCCTTATCCGAGATTTGTACTTTGAGAAAGATGGCGTCGTCTTCTGAATTAATGGTCCCCGTAATTGTCATGTCACTTGGAATGGTCATGATTGGCAATTGCTCGACTTCCTTACGAGCAAGAAATGGATCCATTAACAGCTCATGTGCATTTGGCCGCTTAGTAGCATTCTGTAAACATCTTCCAATAAATCTCTGAGCTTCAACATCATTAATTCGGTAAAATGCCTCCGGTAACTTTCCCTATTGGTTACGGGACAGGATGACAACGAAATTCAGTTGAAACATGCTGAAAAAATCAATGTTAAAGCAAATTTAAGGTAATTACCGAGGTGACTTTCTTGTAGATTTGAGCAGGATTGGAGCACTCGCAGTATGGATATTCAGAAGTAAGCATTTCTAGTACACACATGCCAAAGGAGTATATATCTACCAGCTCATCATATTCCTCTTCATATAGTTCTGGTGCCATGAATTCAGGTGTACCTGATGCAATTCACAAGACAATTAGTTACATCATAGGATTTAGGCCTATTTTAAGATTCATGGTATATTGGTATATATACAACTACCATAAGAATAGAAGTATACAATAAAATCAAGAGCCTAGGAAACTTCAAAATTTGAGGATTATATAAGGCAAACTTTATAGATTATGTCATACATGCTTTCCTATTCATGATCCAGCATGTTTAGCCAAGCTTAAATAAAGAAGTAAACTTACCATTCTTTATCTTTAATGCCAAAAATAAGATTTTATACAGAAAAGACAAAATAACTTTCAAAAAGCTTCAAATATGTTTGATAGAGAAAGATTATTTACAAAATAACTTTTAAGCTTAGAAAGAGAGATTGAGGATTGCCTATGACACTGTGGGCATGGTGAGTTCCATGAAGTATGGCAGCTAATCCTAGATCACCAATCTTGACTTGACCAAGATGTCCATTGACAAAAATGTTGTCGCACTTAAGATCTCGATGAATTACTGGAGGATCATGACTATGCAAGTAATCAATCCCTTCAAGAATTTGTCTAGCCCAATTCTTAATCGCTCCAATGTTAACTCGCTTGTACCTCTTTCTGTACCTGTAATTAAACATTATCATGTTTAATCAGATCACTAATTGTAAGCTCAGTACATAATAAATATGATTAAAAAAGAAAAAGAAGTTGAAATCTTATTTGTTATACTCTCTTAGGGAGCCTGAGGTGAACAATTCAGTGATGAAGTTGAAAGTTCTTTGATCAACGTCGATCCAGGAGGCACGTAATTTCATTATAGAGTGATGATCAAGATTCTTGAGAAGATGGACTTCAGAATATAGCCTCTGCAATTCTTCAGGTGACCTGAAAACATCATTAAGCTTGACTTGGTTCCAGGCTACTTCCATTCCAAGAAACTCATCAAATGCTCTATACACTGTCTTTGTAGCTCCTTTGCCAAGAATATCTCTATACTGTAAATAAAAATGAGAGAATAACTGACCATATATGTTGTATAGGATGATGGAACGGCCCATAAGGTTTTTCCATACGCTTTCACTTCTTATAAAAGAGCTTATTGAGCTTTAATGAAATTCTCAAACAAACAGAATGATTAAAATTCAATTAAAATTGAAAATATAGTCGGTATTGGGTTCCACTAGTCTAATAAAAGTCAACTCCAACGATTATATTTTCAATTTTAATCTGATTTTAATCCCTCACAAACAAGCTCTAAATGAGTTTCTTCTAAAAACTCTTCTAGTCAAACCAGTAGCAGAGCTGGGGACAAAAAAATATTTTTTGTATTGGACTGATACGTATAAAAAAAAAAAATACCCATCAAAATCAAATGGGCTGGGAGCAGTAGTCCTGCCCCCTCCCTACGCCCCTAAGCCAAATAAAGCACTTCTAGATCTTCACATGTTTAAGAATATCTACTTAATTTGACTTTTTAAAATCCTACCAAATGGGCCTAACGCATTCTATTATGGGGTGCTTACAAAATACCTTTAAAATTATGGATGTTTTGAAAAATCATATGAAAGATTTTTAGGAAGTAAAAAATATTGTGTAAAATGATAAAGTGACACTATGTAACTTTTTTTAATTTATTTAAAAAGTGACACAAACTCAAAAAAATGACAAAACTAAAAAAAAATGACACACACTCTCAAAAAGTTGTTAGAAAAATATAATATATTATTTCACTTTTTTTTTATCTTCTTAAGAGTGACAAAAACTTAAAATGTGACAAAAACCTAAAAAAAGTGACAAAATTTTAAAAAGTGATATAGAGGAACGTATGCTTGAATATGATTCCCCTAAATTGTCATTTAATTCATGCAAATGGAGAGATACAATGACATTTGAGTGTTTATGTGTGTATATTCTATGTATCGTACAAAAATCATGGCATAATTAATACAAAAATGCATTTGGAGCAATTAATCGAACACTTGATATGCATAGTAATTGAAATGAGTAAAANGCGCAGCAATTGAAATGAGTAAAAATTTCTCATGATTTTATGCTAAACCCAAATATTCCACAACTAATCCACAAAACCAACATCAACTACGCTCATACTCCCAACAAAACTCAAAAAATTCCAACCGTGAGCAAGAATTTAAGACAAAGAAGAAAAATTTCAAAACCCATAAAGTCGAGCCAATTGGTCTCTTCAAGTCTTCTATTCGTCCCTCTGTGATCGTGTGTGTTTCAGCCTTTGCAAATGTAAGTTTTTTTTGTTTCATTGATTATCATTCATGCAGAATAATACACGGTGCTCATATTTTATTTGATGATACCAGTGAGTTGATTTTCCATAAAAACACCATAGCCATGGACAGCGACTAAAAAGAGAAGCTGCTGAGTTCAGAAAAGGAAGTGTTGGGTGAGTTCAAAGGAAGCATTTCTGAAGAATCAAAGAAAATATGGAGGATTGCATTGCCTGGTAATATTTCAAGAGTGGCTTCATTTGGAACAGTAGTTGTTACTCAATCATTTATTGGACACATAAGTGCCAATTTAAGACGTAATTAATACTTCATTAAAATGTTTAATTAGAGTTTAATGATATTAATCAAAACACCTATAAAAAAGGGTATTGGGCCTAATATTCCCTTCTATTATTTATTCATGAGCTAGATAGAGCATGTGACCAAACTAAACAAAACCAAATGAGGGAAAAAAATTGTGCTGAAGAGCTTTAAGGAAAAAAATTAGATTAATTTCTTGTGATCCAATCAAATATTTGGTAATATTTTAAGCCAAATTTAAAAAAAAAATAAAAAAATCTAAACACTATATTGATCCAATGCATCCAATATTTAATGACTCGAGAGTTGAGACAGATTACCTGTCACTAAAGAAAATCCTGTGTGTATATCCACTACTATATAGATTATTTCTTTAATTAGCTTATCATCGACCTAGTGTCATTTATTACCATCTTGAAATGATTGAAATCATAAACATTTTATTAGTAACGTAAATGTATATATGTGTGTGTAAATATTTGCTTCATTTGCAGAATTTCTCTATTGGACATACCTAAGCTTAAGGTCAAATTCATTTCTAGATCACTTTTTTTCAGAATTTATCTAACTTTTTTCCTATGCATTTCTTAGGATTATCCACCTTAATTAGCAGTATTGGATCCTAGTTTCCTGTAAATTATTTCAAAAGCATGTTTGATTATGCTTAAAAGCACTATGTTACTAAAGAAAAAAAGCTGAAAATTTTGTTTTTAAATACTGCCTAACACCTAAAATCAGGTAATTTGAACTATAACAAATAGAATTCAGTGCTAGAAAATATAAATCGAAATCAGAAACTTACACGTCCAAATCGGCCACATGGATCCGTTTCCACGTAGTCTAACAGCAGCTTTTCTCCAGCAATGGCTTCCCGTACCCGCGTTTTGTACATAGTTGAGAAATTTAAATTGCACGCACCCCTTCAACTTGAGATTATTACTTAATACTAATATTAGAGATTTTTACTTAAAGATTTTGTAATATATATGATATATAAATATTGCTGCAAATTAAGACAGGAACAGATGCTATGAAATCCGAGGTTTTCCTTCGTGATTTTCGTAAGAAAATACACCAAACAAGACCCAGAATAGCCTCGAGTAATCAATCCTGAGCATAATCCAAGCCATTTCTACAACTTCACGTGAAAACTCGTGTTTAAAATTCATTTGCTTTGAAAGAGATTATAGGGAAGGTAAAAAGGTGATAATATACTATGCAAATTGTTGTTGAGGCAGATACTAAGTCAACTTCCACACTGTTAGATGTGGAGATGATGAAAAACCACTTCTTTTTCAGGGAAAAAGTAGGGAAAAAAGCTTAACAGAAATGATTAAAAGTGAGACTTTGGCAAGAAACTGAACTTCTGAATTTAAAAAATCTGTGGCCACGTTTTGGTAGCACCATTTGTGGTTACCAGCAAGATCCAGCGATAGATTTTAGGGAGAGAATTCAGAATCTAAGGCAAAGGGATGATTCAAGATATGTGAGAAAGTTTGAGAGGATTTGGAGGAGAATATTGTTGGTACAGACTGCAGATTATTGGGGTGGGTAGGGAGAGGAGGTGATGGAAATATAACTACTTATTTTTGTAGGAAAAAAGAAATTAAAAACTGGGTCTTCACCTGATTCCATAGACAAAGTCTTATTTGACATTATTTATTCCACTTGTATTAACCGTGTCACGTTAATATTGGAAGAAGCATAATAATTTGGCTGGGAAATTAAATATAATTCGTGCATAAAAAATACCAACATTTTTTATTATATAGTTGTGACTTTTGACCTTTTCAAAATGTAACTAAAATTAATTATTGATTTTAATTTTAAAAAAATTTCAGATTTACATCAAATAGTACTTAAGTTACTTGTGATTATTAAGAATTGGGGGTACATCTTAAAATGTCAACATTGTTAAGAAGAGTAGTCCAAAATCTTTATTAATTTAATATAACAATTCAAACCTGTTAAGAATTGAGGTTCCATCTTAAAAGGCTAACATTTTTAAAAGGAGTAACCCAAAATCTTTATTAATTGGTCTGTGTCAACATCATTTATCGATGTGGGATATATATCCCTTAACACGTCCCCGCAAGATGGTGACTCATTTGAGCAGACCAATCTTGAAATCTACGTGCTCATTTTAGAGTTTTAACTGAATTGAATCGCTCATTGGAGCATAATGGGTTCTGATACCATATTAAGAATTGGGGGTTCATGATTATTTGAAGAACATATGTTAAAAATGGAAAAGGATTTTGAATTTATGTGTATAATATTCTATAATGAACGTGATTGAAAATGAATTTAAGAAAAAAAAAATTGTAAAAATTGTTGTCAAACAGGGGTAAGAAACAAGTATACATTTCTTGTATAAATGAAATGGATTTGATGAAAAACTACAACCACGATTTGATTATTTTTCAGATAATTGCCTCAAAACGATTAAAATATTAACAAAGCTCTAATGTGGCAGCCACTTGGAAAGCCACCTCTTAATAATTTGACAATGACAGGAAATTTGACTTCCAACGTGACATTTTGGGGTATGACATTCTTGACAGTTGACACGATGTGGTTCAATGAATTTAAATATGGAAAAAAAGAAAAAATTGTGCTCCATAATGCAATAAAATTTTAATCCTCTTACGTCACGTGCCACATGTACAATCCGTAATAATTGATATATTTAATTAGAAAATTGTTGTCTTAATTTTCTACTACTTAATTTATTTTATTCAAAAATTTACAGAGTCGGAATCAATTCCCTTTCATTTCTCCCAAGCGCCAAATTTTTCAAACTAATGAAAAGGCGATCTTTCAACACATTATCGAACAACAAAAATTACTTGCGGAAAATCGTATGTCCAATTTTATGAAATTAACTACACTGGTGTTCAAAAATTTGAAGTGACTCAATTTTTCTATAAAGATCGCATTATAATTCAATGAAGATTTAGATAGTGTCCATCACTCGGCAGTAATTATACAACAATAATGAAAACTTGAACACTAACTTGTTTCTTATTAAATATTAGAGACCAACTTGCTACTGGCACAATAAATTGGGGACCAATGGTGCAACTTTCTCTATACCTCATCATGGGATAAACAACATGAAATTTGAATGAATGTGCTCACAAACATTGGGCAAGCTTTATCCATTTAGCATCACATACAATCTCCAAAAGACATTGATGAAATCTTCATCTCAGAGCATATAAAACTATAATTCAAAAGTATTATGGTCCTTCTAAAAAAAGGCGTAAAATTCAGTGCCTTGTGAAGAGCAAAATTGAAACTAGTTCTGTCAAACCTAGCAAGAAGAGACCACTGATATCCTATTTAAGTTACATCTGGCATAATAAACATGTCCCTTTAAGATTAAACTACCCCTTATGCTGGTGATCATAACTCTGGGATGAAAAGGCAATTTGATTCCCTATACAAAAACACAACTCAATTTGGACCTGTATTGTCAATCTAGGAGAAATATTTAGTAGAATGTGGAGTCAAGCACCTTTTTATACATCTTCGACAGGGCTGTGGAGGAGCCACAGAGGCAGAAAAGTTCTGGCTAACATGGAAAACCTCTTGCACCAGTTCATTCTTAGTGACACATATAATTAAGCATTTGTTTTTACCAAATCAGATGGATAGTGGTGGGAAATCATCTTTATCTTTTGAGAATATATGACGATTTCAATGAAACCCTACATGTTACAGAGCCAAAAGAAAATTAAAAACGTAAACAGAAGACCAGCAACATCTGTAAACTGATGTGGTCATACAAAATTATGTGCGCAAATTCTTTTACCTATCGTGATCCCTGCTCAGTGTAGGATTTGACCTTCGCATTTGGGGTGAAACTGGATTAAGAGTTCAAGGGGGAGAAGTGTCAGATCTTTGTTGCCTACTTCTTTCTAACAAGAGTGCTCCAAATGGGACGTGTCCAACTTCACATGCCCCGTGCTTCACACCACTTTGTTCAACTGGGACTTGAGATTGTGAATTCTCGTGGCTGCTTCTATCAACCACATTGGTTACGAGCATCATGTTCCGGCCATTGGTCCCAGGGGACCTTAATGTCACTTGATTGCTTACATTCATAGAAGGCCTATAACCATGTGGGGGTTGATTCTGCGAAAATCAAAAAGCATAAAACTATTTCGTACCAATAATAAGGCCAACCACCTCAACAATGTGATGGACAAAGGAAGTTGTAAGATGATAACCATGTGACACATCATTATCCCATGTAAGCAGCATAATTTAAAATGATCAAACAGCATACTGTTAGCATTATACCGTGTTTGGGAAATATGCCCCTGTCCCACGAGGTTTTGGAATTTCTTCAAAACCATGGGTCATCGCCAGTAATTGTATCGGTTTTACTGCATTTGCTGCAGGACTTGGGATAAAACCATCAGGGAGCCTATTAGAAAATGCGTTCTGCTTGAACTGAGATGAATGCCTGATGCCATTCCATGAATTCTTGTTCTCATATTGAAGGGGTGGCAGTTGAGGCATGGGTGCAGAAGGAACGCCAGAAGCATGTTCATAACACCACTGACCATACTGCAAATAATACAAGTAACTGTCATAATCTCCACTAAGATCCAACAAGGAGTTTAAATATTCTGAACTCCTGGTGCTCCCTGCCGAACCCTGATAATAGGTCATATGATTTGAATTTTCAGAACAGGCAACTGATTTCTGAGTTAAACTACCCTTAGGTTGAACGGCAATTTCATTTTCTTTTCCCAACTGGTTTTTGTCGAGGTTCCTAGCAATAGCAACTCTTTGTTCATCAAATCCTGGGAATACCTCAGAATGAGCATTCTTCTCTGAGTGGCCCAACTGATGTGAGCCTGGGTTCCCATTCTTCGAAGTGCCATTATGTGAGTTGGAGTCCGAAAAAAATTGGTGAGGTGCATAAAAGGGCTTAGCTATTACATTGACGCTCTCCTGGATTATTTGGGTATGAACTTTGGGTGAATCACATGAAATTTCGAGGCAGTGAATACCAGAGGTAGCAAGATCATTTGCATCTCTGAGGAGATGATGAGGCAGGCCACTGCTTTTAGCAGGCTGAAATGGTGATGGATCAGGATTCTGAACATCACTCTGTCCACTTCTGTGCCTCTCTATAGTGTTTGAAAAGAAATTTTGAAGCTCTCTAAGAATGTGACCTTCTTGCTGCAGAAGTACACCCCCAAGTTTTCTAGCCCCATAAGAGAATGCACTGCGTATCCGGTAGAAATTTCCTATACAGAACAAACAAGGTGTCGTTGAGATTATCTTTGGACAAAATTTGGAGAAATATTAAACAGACAACCCACAGATCCACGTCTTGACAGGAAGAACGTGCAATAAATTCTCTTTGCAATTCAATTTTTTTTTTCAAAACATACTAATCCCCTATTTGACAACCATTATTTTCAAACCCTTTTTTTCTACACTCTCATTTTCAACCTCACGTTCACACAATAAAATATTCTGCACGTAAACTCAAAACTTTTCCTTACTTTTTAACCACATATTTTCCTAAAAATCACCATTCAAAACTCTATTTTACCCAAATAATGGTTGTCAAACAGGGGCTAAATATCAGAATATTAACTCAAAACCAAGTATACATAAAAGAAGATTGACAGATGATATTAGTTCTCATGTAAATGTAGTAGCCAAAAAAGTAACACGAGTTGGATTTAGGAAATTTATGTGAGGAAATGTATTTTTCTCTGATAGTTCAGTACAGTACATTTGAATACATTCTACAATACACAAACACAAAAGGGACTGCAGGTCATGTTTTGACAATTATTGAAATCCATAGGTTCCTTTTAAGTTTGACAACAAATAGGGATTCTACCTTTGCTGACACTACGG